TATATAATGTGGCTTATACGATATTGAGACAGTATATAAATGTCTGACACCTGATGATGATTTAGTAACTACACACACAAATTTTACAATTAATTTTACCATTTTGGTATGTCTCAGAAATACACATATACGAAAAAGAGTATGCATTTTTTAGAAGTATAAAATGACTAGAACGCCCAAAATGCGATTAACTAGTTTCATTTTCTGAGATTCTGATGAACTTTCCTGGATATTACGAAATTTAAGTAACTAATTCCCATTTCCTAAAACTTTTAATTGTTAACAAACCTGATAAAAATCTCGGTACAAAAGTTCCCATAAATGCATTCTATGAATTTTCTTAATGAAGCAACTAACTAACAAGTAACACTTGTATACACACAATTGTATCTTTATTCTTCTAATGTCACAATTTTATATGTAACTCGTCTCAGAGAGAAAAAGTGCATCGTAAAAAATACTTAAATTAAAAACATCAACGATTTACACAAACAAAAACTTTTTCTTTGAAACATTAAGTCCCATGATACTTTTAAACTAAATTATCTAAAAAGTTACCATGTGAAATTTTTCTGTTTCGTGTCGATTAACATAATTTCATATGTTTTTGCTTCCTAATTTCTTCACAATTTTAAAAATATATTTTTGACCATTATATAAATATTTTATTATGGCTATTGAAATTCTATTAATTTACTACGTACAGAAATTTGAGGAATTTGCTAATTTGAAAATGCGTTGATTTGGCAAAAACCATTAACATGTGTTTTGGCACCGATATACAAATTTCTGAATTTAAACAAAATAACGCATTTAAACGTTTTAGTTATCTCATTGATAATTTGGAATTTGGATGAGATTAATAAAAAATTGATAAAAAAAAACAAATATTAATTGGATATAAATTGATAAGAACTTGTGAGGCGGAACTGAAGATATTGAAAGAATTTTTATATTGAATGCTGATAATTTTAATAATTTATTTATACAAATGTTTTTTTTTAATGTTTGGTTTTTATTAATTGAAACCATTGATTATTAAAATACGTCTTTTCTAGTTATAAAAATATTACTCACCAAACTCAATAAATGAGTTTTGTTATTCGTTTTGTGAATAATAAAATTTGTTATTTAACAAGTTTCGAAAATATTAGAA